GGGGAGGGGGAGAGGGAGAGGCAGGCTTCCCGCTGAGCAGGGAGCCCCACGAGGGACTCAATCCCGGGACCCCGGGATCATGACCTGAGCCGAAGGCAGACGCTTAACTGACTGAGCCACCCAGGAGCCCCTGGAGTAAAGTTTTAAATGTTAAAAAAGAAACATGGAAATATTATAATGTAAAGATGAATAGCTTGACCTAATCCAGGGGTGCAGAAGTTTATATTTAAACATACATAAACAGAAGTACTAAAAGAAGAAACACAAGTAGAAAAACTGATAGATTTGATCACATAGAAGCAGTACGGTCGGTCATGACAGAGGAGAAGGGGCCACGTGTGATCCAGTGCTCAACATTAGTGGATCCAGGGGAGAAGTTACAGTAATTAAATGTGCTCTTTCCAGGTGTACTTGAGGCTGGACAAGCATGACCGTATAAACTGGTCTCAGAAGCCATTTCGGATCAACTGGAAAAGACTTCACTTCAGCAGATCACAGTCCTCTTCTGAAGTCTCAGAGGTAGTCCCAGAAGGACCGTTGGGGACACAACAAGGTGGTGTTGCCAGAGCCGGTGGGAGAGGCTTGCGATTCCACTGGCAGCCCCTCAGTGACCCAGGGAGAGGCTGCGGTGGGAAGTGGCCCCAAGTGTAACTGAGGCAGTATTGCAGTCTCCTCCAGGGAGAAGAGCCGTCCTCACAGATAGCCGCAGACCTGTAGGAGCAACGAAGCTGAACTCTCCCAAGGACTCCTCGTATTTTAATACATACAATTACATGATGGCCAATATTTATGTAATATTTTAAGCCTCTGATAGCGCTTTTACACATGACCAGACTCTTTCAGAAATAGTATGGGTTGTTATGATAGATTTGAGCTTGAATGCTGGTTCAACCTGTTGGCTGTGTGATCTTAAATAAGTTACTTAACCTCAGGACCTGTTTTCTCCTCTGTAAAATGGCGATGGTGATGGTGATGGTGATGGGGCAAGGTGATACCTGCCGTATAGGATAAGGGTTGAATGAGAAAAAAGACCTAGTCTGACATTTGACACACAGGAGGCGCTCGATTTCCTTTCCTGCTCTAAAGGTAGCTCTTTGCCTCAGTTGACCTCAAGACTTCCACAATAGTCCCCTGTGTATAAAGGTAACATATCCTCTTCAAATCCGTGTCATGTCACACAGTGATTCTTCACTGCAGTGATGTGAAGGAGGTAGTGACGTCTGTATTGTTAAAAAAAACAAAACAAAACAAAAAAACCCACCCCCTGCCCCCAGACTTCCCTGCTGAGAATCACTGGTCTACACTTTGATATCCCAAGTAGCTCTCAGTAGTTTAATATTTTTGTTTGATATTTTCACTCACGGCTTGATTTCAATAAAGTAAGGACTTGCCTTCATGGGAGGGCAAGACATTAAGCTAATGAAAAAGGTAGTCCATAAATTACCTTCTCATGTGTAGCTAGGTGCCAGGAAGCATTTTCTTTCTTGGGCAGTGGGAGGTGGGGCAGTTAATAGAAAGAATGGTGGAAATGCAGAGAGTATTCAGGGCCCAGAGGAGGGTTGATTGGGCCATGTGGGAGAAAATGGATAAAAGGGAAGGGGGAGGAAACTGAAGACAATTATTATTTTTCTCCTAGATCCTCATTTAGCAGGCTGTGACTTGGCTTCTTCTGGGGCACCAGTGCCTCTCAATAGAAGCTGTTATCTGTATGCTGTAACCCTGTCATATTTCTAGTCTCACCTACCCTAGGTGTGAGGCCTGGACCCACCACTGGAGTCCTCCATGGCTACCTGAACCAACTCATCAAAGTCATATTAAGTACCATAAGGTCCCGGAATTGTATCTGTCAAAACCTAAATTGTTCTCTCTAGAATGACACATGAGTAGTTACAAATAACATTTGGTAACTGCAAATATAGAGGGCAAAGAGAAGGGAAATTCTATCACTCTGCTATGAACTGCTCACAGGCTAGATTAACTGAGCATCACTTTTGGCTTCTTCTAAAGAAGGGAGATAGGACCAAGGTGTTCATAAAATTCTTATTTGAAATGTTGTTTAGAGTTTTGGGTAAGGGATCTTCTGATTGAAAATGCTAAGGACACTCCTTAGGCAGGATGGTTAGATTTGAACTGAAGAGACAAGGTAATGCTGACGGTCAAGTTATGACTTTGAGAAGCCACAGACATATCATTTTCTGGGGGAGCCAGACCTTTCAGGAGACACAGGGGCTCCTGTAGTGGTAAGTGCAGAGCCCCCTTCTAGGCTGCGATTTAACTGCTTTGTCCCAGCAAACGCCATCAGGAAACAAGGCTTCCTGTGGGTGTATCTGCTTGACCCTCTTCTAAGAGTAGACGTCCAAGGGCTGCCTACCTGGACCCCCATCCTTATTTTGTCATCATCTTCAAGGGAGTCCAAGTACACAGCAGTGAAAACCATGCTAAATTGCATGCATAGACCAAAGACAAGAGTAAAATCATGTTATGTAGAACTCAGAAACAGCTTCATGGGGAAAGAATTTTTGCTGGAGGGTAGGTAGAATTTAAAAAAAGACAGGAGAGAGCAGAGCTAAGGCTCTGTTTTTGTGACAGTTAATTCTCACTCATGGTTTTCATACTGAAACTCCTGGAGATGACTGACATGAAAGAGGAAATAGAACAAAGTCAGAAGGAGCAGGAGCTCAGGCACATGGTAAGACAGTCTGAATTAGAACAGCCAGTTGGATGTGTGGAGACTTCACCAGCCGGAGGGAGATTGGGAATTCCGTTTCATCCATAGAACCGAAGCATCCCACATATGCCATCAAGCAGAAGCTTTATTATGCAATAGTGAAGCGTGTGCACCCTTTCCCCCGATTAATAATGCACAGACTGAGGTCACTGTGCACTGAAAACAAATCTTCACACAACCTGGGGATAGCTGGGAGCTGATACTTCACCTTGAAATTTGACTTGTTCGGTCAAATATGTAACACTTCTGAAACTTTTTAGCCTTTGGCATCCAGGTTTGAGCTTCCCCAAATGTTTGTGGTGTGCATTATATTCTGGTTCTTTCACTTTAGCTGATATGATACTGTTGTCTAATACATCTGCTGTGTGCTCATGGACATGTCCAAAGAATTAACCTGGGTTGGGAATGTTTATGCTCTCACAGTTTGCTTTTTCAATTTGGTTCAGCATTGGTCCCTTCTTGTAAAAGTCCGAGGTCCCTTCTTGTAAAAGGGCCGATTAGGACCAAGCTGGAAATACAGCAGCGAAGAGTTGTTCTGAAAGTCCCCCGAGAATTTGCCCTTTGGCAATTAAATTTTCTATAGATTTTTATCCCTTTACCAACTATCAGTGCAATTTTTGGCAAGTCACATAACCTGAGGCCATGACATACACTTCACCCTGGGCCTCTGGGTCTTCATCTGAAAAGTGAAAGGACTAGGCAAGATGATTTTGAGGTCCTTCACCGCTAAGATTTGAGAATTTAACAATTCCTAAATAGTAAACATCAGATTTTTTGACACTAGAGCAATGGGTTTGTCAACCTGTATGTATTCTCCCAAATGTTATCTGCCTCAAGCCACTGAGACCTTTCCCAGATGGACACATGGCAGGCTTGGCAAAGCCTATGGAGTTTCCTTCAGAAACCAGGCCTAGCCACTCCTATTCATTTATCTCTTCATTCAACAAACATTTGTTGAAGGCCTGTTAGGTGCTAGGTGCCAATCTTTAGAACTTGATCCATGGCTTTTTATCCACCTTCCCTATGCTCACTTGCTTTGACAAACCAGGCAGACAACAGTATAGGAAATGTGCATTTAATCATTCTCTTGAATGCTCAGAGCTCAAAAATCGAGTTTTCTATAACAAAATGTAATACAGTCATGGTGGGTCCAAAGTGTCAGGCAGGCAGACGTCAACAAGTGAAAAGTATGGAAAGGGGGTGTGTGTGTGAACAAAGCATTCTTTTCGATCAAAGCTTTATTCTTCAGGGTCTCATTTCAAAGGTCCATTCTGCTTTCAGAAGTCTCTGTGTGTTTCATGGAGGGGATGTGTTTTCGTTGCCTTCATTGGAATTATGACTAGGCAGGGTCCTGAGATCTGAATTCGGAGCAAAAGAGCCTGAGATAGACCTCAGGCAGCTCTCACAGAACCTAATTTGTCCCGTAGAAGGAAGGGAAAGGAACCCACCAGATATAACCCCATCGGGAATTCCTGTTTGCCTGAAACTGAGCTCTGACTCTCTGTGCTGAGACAGCAGCCAGAGAAACAGAGGATGGTGCCTTTCTGTAGGAAGCAAACAGGTTTTGTTTATCCCCCCCTCTTCTCTAGATCCTCTTCTAGGACTGACATTTGGGGCTGCGTAATTCTTTGTTGTGGGTGGATAATCCTGTACACTGTAGGATGTTGAGCAGCATCCCTGGGTCCTATCCATAACATTAGCACCCTCCTCTCTCCCCTGAGTTGTGACAACTAAAATTGTCTCCAAACATTTTCAGATGTCCGCTGTGTGTGGGGAGGGGTGTGAAAAATCACCCCGGTTAAGTCCCACTGCTCTAGGTGCTGTTGAAAGCTGAGGTTATCACTGTCCACACAAGATAGAAAGGAGAAACCTGAAACACTTGTGTTGACCTAATGCTGTATACAGTGATGACGAGAGGTCCTTTCCTGACCAGTTAAGGATGCACGTCATCTGAGAAATAAAATGGCATTTGTTTGTTTAAAAAAGAAGATGTTTGGATAATTTGGAAAACCAGTGTCTCCCAACTGCATGTTTTAAGTTAAAGTTATGACCTTGCCCACATTTCTTTAGCATTTGTCAGGTGGGAGGAGATTCCAAGGCACTTTGGGAAGCATCCTAACGAAGAGTGAATTATTTGACCCACCACTAAAATTCAGCCACCTCTGAATTGTGAAGTGGCAGTTAATTAGCAGCTTCTTACTATACCCACTGTGGCTTAATTTATGGATTATAAGATGTGGAGGTATTGCAAATCAAAATTTTCTGGGAACTTAGAGCAACATTACAGCAATGCAAAGATTCAGAGAACAAGGGAGAGGCTATCTCCCACCCTCTCACTCCCTGGATGAGGGGGGTGGTTGTAGGGGGAGGTCCCTGAGGTACGGAGATCCACTTGTCTCCACTTGCAATTGACTTAGTCCTAACACATATCCAGTTCAGATGAATTGTGTTCCCAGCTTTTAATATAGGTCTTTGGAAATAGATTTATCTGGTTCATATTGGAGTCTTCTGTGGGTTACTTTTGACTTTTTGTTTGTTTGTTTCTTGATCTTATTTGTTCACTCCAAACTTCTAGACATGAATTCATTTCCCCCCAGAAATACAAAACTGGGTCCTATCTTATGGTGAAATAGTTCTACAGATTCCTGGGATTCTGAAAATAACAGAAATAGGATGTCCTTACAACCATTCAGCGAACATTTATGGAGAACCAATTGTCTCTGCCCCTGAATGAGGGTATCTCTTGTTCAGAGATGGGCTCGTTTTTCTGTATTTTGGTGATGTTCTCTAAAGACCACATGCTACCATGGGTTGCTTGGGGGAAAGAAGATGGCTTGAGTCTCTTCTTCAGGAAGGGGATCGTGCTTAGAGAAAACAGGAACTGAGAGATGAGCTAGGAGCAGGCTTCTAGGTAGAAGTAGAAAGACGGCTTCTCCTTGAGTGTCCAACCAAGGAATGTGTGTGACCTAAAATGTTGTGCTCGGCGTTGGTTTGCAACTCTCCCAGGAGCTCCCTGGTTATAGTCTGAAACCGCGCCCCCTGCCTTGTAGAGCAGGGAGAGGCAGACCACTCCAGGTCGGTGGGTGGCAGTCTCTGAGGAAAGGACACTTCTACATGAGGCTTGTCCTGGGCAGCAAGAAGACGAGTAGATCCTTGCAAGTCTTAAAATTTTATATAGGGGCCGTCACTGGGTTCGGTCACATACACTGTGCAAGGTGTTCTCAACGCCACATCATTATCTCAAGGCCATGTCCTCAGAGCAGCCTCTGGGAGCGGGACAGGCACGTGGGGACCTTCGTCCCAAGGACAGGGGTGCAGGTGAGGAGCCTCTGATCACCCGGGTCTAGCTCATGGGTCAACTGACAGTGACTCACATCTTTTCAATGACCCTCCCCACAGTCCCTTATGGGTTTCACAAGTAATGATCTACTTATTTATTTTTAAAAATTGATTTAACGTTATGCCTCTGTAGTTGTAGGGAGAAAGAGGTGGAGCTGTAATAATCAGGTAACTGTATATAACCTATGCATACTGCATGTGAACATGGTCCCTTACACGGATGTCATGGCTTTTCAAAAAAGGCTGCAAATTACTGCTCAAAGGAAATACAAGATAAAAATGAATCAGCTATACTTTATAGGTTAGATTATCTAGTTGCAGGATATTAATCATTAATATGCCCGCATAATTAATCAAGGAAAGAAGAAAGTGTGTCCCTTTTCTACTAGTGAGATCCTCAAGAGAGAGTTTCCTTAGGGAAATCTCCCTCCACTGTCAACCGTGGAGGTGGGCCCGGGCGGGTTTCCTTACAAAGAATCCCTTTTGTGCACTGCCACTGTTGTGTTTGGAGAACAGGAGAAAGAATGAAAAGCAGATCAACAGAGCTTTGCCTGCCCTACTTAACAATCTAGGCGAGGAATATATGTGCCTTGAGAGTGTAAGAGATCATAAATTATTCATGCATGCCAAGGGGATGGGGAATGAAGGGACCATCAGGAAAGTGGGCTATGAGCTGGGGAGCACTTGACCGAAATGGGTGAAGGAAGGGTGGCTTTGAAGAGCCATAGAGTCGAGGAGACTCCCAGAAAGGGGCAGTGAGAGAGGGAGCAAGGCCAGAGAGAGGAGCAGGCAGCTGAGAGAAGCAGGAAGCCCAGGGGAAGAAACTCTGAGAGCTGTGACCACATGGCTGAGGACTTTGACTCTGACACAATAGTGCCCAGAGAGTCACGTTCAGTTCCAGAGCAAAGGAATGCTGTGATGAAAATAGCACTGGAATCATTTTATTTTGGCATCTTATTTCCTATCGATGGACACAGGGAGAGGAAGGAGCAAGTATAAGGTTTTAGAACTAGTCTGGTGTGTGAAACAGTGGAGGCTGGATTGGGGTCAGTCTGAGGGACAACCCAGGGAAAATGCTCTGGGGCTTAGTAACACATGGACGTCAAGGACAGAGCGGGGACAGAAATAGGTCTAAGGTTGCGAGCCTGGATGCATGGTGGCGATGCCGCTGAGTCCTGTGATAGTGCTGATTGGAGCTTCATGAGCTCAGCTGTACACAGATGCCACACAAGAAGAATATCCAGAAAGCAGTGTCCTACTAATAATGGGAGCCAGAGGACTGAAGTGACAGAAGTCTCAGCAGGGGCGGGGCTAGTTGGGGAGTCATTTGTCAAACTTCTGGCCAATAGGAGCTTTGTTGGGGGGCTAGGAGGAGGTCACCTGTGTGAGTGATTATGTGCATGTCACGAGGCTTTGTAAGGTAACAGTGAAATCCAGAGGAACTATCGGGGCTAAACATCTCTTCCTCTTTGTCTTTATGCCTTGTGGATGGATAACAGGGTCAATGAAAAGATGTTTGAATTTACACAAATATTTGAATTGCAGAGTTGTTTTTGCTGGAAGTATATCGATGAGATCTACACTCTTTGTTCACGCATATTTACCTTTCACAAGACCAGCGGGAAGAGGGCCCACTGCCCCGGCATTATCAAATGTTTCTTTCTGAGGCTGATGCTGGAGGTTGCTTGACTCTTGTTAGGAACGCAAGCACACACAGATCCGATCCCCACACCGGTCCCGATTCATCTCACCTGTCGTACTAATGACTTTGCGCGTTTCTCTGTGTCCAGGGCACATTATTTTAGCATCAGGTAAGGGGAGAGAGGCAGGAGTACCCAGCTGATGGCAAAGAAAGAAGAGACACCCAGGGACGCCTTTGAGTTCACCAGCTGTAGGTGACTCTGCCTTCTAATCTCAGAGTCTGCAAAGGGAGAGAAAAAAGTTCAGGGTCACAGAGGAAAAGCTGGATGTCTTCTTCACGTGGCTGCCTGGCAAAGAAAGGTACCTGAAAAACAGAACGAGTTGATTCTAATACAACTTATACCCCAATCTGGGGGCAATTTTGTACCCTATTCTCTACCTCTCTGTAACTGGCTTTAAAATCAGAGCTTTCTCTTTCTTCAAAGGAAGTCCCTTTCTGTTGTCCACTCCAGTGAACACTCAGCCAAATGAAAAACTAGACCAATAAAGAGACTGTTATTGCTTACCAAAGAAAGAATAGGACAAGCGGTCATGGCCAGTCCTTGGCTTCGGACACATTTTTTTTCCTGTAGGCAGTGACCTTTACAGGTTCTGTGTCATTTGCTTCATCACACCACTACAAAGCAATGCGAAAGTATTGTTCTCATTTGAAGTCGAGAAAGGTAGAAGTGAAGACATGAGCTTCCTCTTCTTTTACTCTATTTGCCTCCTAGACAATCCAATCTCATTTAGTTCGTTTCAGCTTTGACACCTACTAGCTGTGTGACTTTAGGCAGGTTACTCAACCTACACATGCCTCAGTTTCTTCACCCAGAAAATAAGGCTAAGATAATAATGGACTTCATAGAGCTCTTTTGAGGATGTAAAACACTTAGAACAGGACCAGGCACGTAATAAGCACTCAAGTATCCCCTGTAACAACAATAAGAGGGACCCCACTCGAGCCCAATAAGCATTATTTCCACTAATCTGACCATCTCCAAACCCACCTCCTTAGTCTGAGCTCTGGCCCGAGTTCCACATCTGGATTTATGGTTGCCACTGTATATGTCAGTTAAAAATTTAATTATTCAGTAAATATTTCTGAGCACCTGCTGTTGGGGTTCAAAGGAGTCCAGTAAGGAACACCCTCTTCCCCAGCTGAGTTCTGAACCAATTAAAGGATAAGATAAAACGAGTGAGGCAACTGGAAGCCCAAAATGTCAGCTTTATCATTGGTTAAGTCTGATAATAAAAGATGAAGCTTTGTCTGCAGGCAGATGGGCTGCCCCCCAGACTTTCCCAGTGACAGGCAGCACCGGACTGGGGCAGGCTTCCTGCCGCAAGAGCAGGTTCTGCTTCTGAAGAACTGATGGCTCAGAGGAGCACACTTTCTGAGGGTTAGCTAGAGAGAAAAGGAAAAGAAGGAGCCAAACTCTTTGTGTCTAGCTTCTCCTACAAAAGTCCCTAATCAGATAAATTAACTCCTCCTCCTCTGGGGAGAAGGGGAAGAAGGGAGACGAGAGAGGCTGGAAGGATTACATTGGTGGGGCATCCTTTCTCATGGAAGGAAACATGTAGGGGAGGGGGTTGAAGGTTATGGGGAGAATGCTGTCACATGCTGGGTAATGTGCCATGCATTAGACATCTCTACCTGCGTGCACAATGGGCACTTCCAACTCGACATCTCCAAAACCCTCACCTTCACGTTGCCTCTCCTGTTTTAATTTTGGGTTGATAGCCTTACTAACCTCCTAAGCAACTGGGGTAGAAGTATTAGACCCGTTTTGACTTCCTCTTTCTCTTGTCCTTCATATTTGTGTAACCAAGATGATTTTTTTTTAACTAGCTTTTGATTCTTCCCCTTTCCTTTCCATTGCCACTGTCCCAGTTAAAGCCCTCCTCATTTCTCCCCTGGACCATTGACATAGGCTCCTGACTTCATACCTTCCTATTCTATCAAAACCGTTCTTCTTCTCCTTCAAAGCCCAGCTTCAACTCTGCCTCGTCTACTGAGCCACAGTCTTAATTAACAACTCCTTCCCCTAGACACCACATCTACACTGGAATTAATTCCTCTTATGACATTTATGCTATTGTGCTACTCACCTCCATATTTCATGGGACTTAAAAGTTGCTTTGTACATACTTGGCACACAACAGATACTTGTTGAATGAATAACCTAAATTAGCAGTAGAGTCAGAGAACACAGGATGTAAACTCTGCCATCGCATCCAATGGTTTAAAAACATGTATGGAGTACTTACTTTGTACGTGGCAAGAAGGAATTGTGTTATTTTCTGAATTTTGAGCTATGTCTTGCTACCATATTGTATTTAGTCTTAGTACTGATACATGGGACACTTGTCCTGATGTATTCAACAAGCATGTATGGAAAAAGAATCTGCTCACTGAATAAAAGGTGTGCTCAATATCTGTGGTTTATTCAGTTACTGTCCTTTGTATCGGAAGGCTTTAGTTATCCAGTTTGGAGATATTTATTGAGATCTGAACTGAGATACTATTGTTAACACCCATCCTTCTAAATGCCCAATGCTTCATTTCCCCCTTTTCTTCAGGGAAGGCCTTCCATCAGGTACTGCATCATTGGTCTATGTGTGGGCAACTGACGCAAGTTGAGCCTTTCTGAGAATGTAGAATAAGACTGTGGGATTAAGGCTCACTCTGGTTACTCTAACGAGTGAGAGACACTTTTAAAGCTAGGAACTCTTGGGAATCACATTCTGCCCTATAGACTAAAACAAGAGAAACTAAATTAGAGAGTAACAAGAGAATAAACTAGAGAGTTGAAAATCCCAGTGGAGTTTAAATTCCTGGTTCCAGCAGTTCCTGAAGCCAAATTACTCTTTTTGTTCTTGGTTCCATGAGCTATCCTAATGCTCTTTTATTAAATTCTCTGTTTAGCTTAGGCTATTTTGAGTTGGTTTTCTGTTACAATCAACTAAGAGCATTCTATTCACTAGTCACCAATTTGTTCCTCAGGATGGTGGAAGAGCTCTCTTTTTCTCATATGTATGATTTGTTTGTTAGATATTTTTTTTTTTGTTGGTAAAAAACATAAAATTTACCATCTTTACCATTTTTAAATGTACAGGTCAGTAGTTTTAAGTGTATTCACATTATTATGAAACAGATTTCCAAAACTTTTTCATTTTGCAAATCTGAAACTCTATACCCCCATTAAACAACTCTCTTTGCTTTTCCCTCCCCCACAAAGTGCTGGTAACCACCATTCTACTTTCTGTTCCTGTGAATTTGACTACTACTTTAGATATCTCAGATAAGTAGAATCATAGAGTATTTGTCTACAACTGGCTTATTTCACTTAGCATGATATCCTGAAAATTTATTTATGTTGTAGCATGTGAATTTCCTTCCTTTTAAAGGATGAATAGTATTCCATTGTATATATATATATATATATATATATATATATATATATATATATATACCACTCTTTTTTTTTAGAGAGAGAAAGAGAGAGTACGCCTGAGTGGGGGATCGTGGGGAGAGGCAGAGGGGGAGGGAGAGAGAGAATCTTAAGCAGGTTCCACAGCCGGCACGGAGCCCAACCTGGGGCTCCATCTCACAACCCTGAGATCATGACCTGAGCTGAAATGGAGAGCTGGACACAACCAACTGAGCCACCCAGGCGCCCCAATATACCACATTTAGTTTATTCATTCATCTGCCATGGACATTTTGGGTTGCTTCCATCTCTTGTCTATTGTGAATCATGCTGCTATGAACATGGGTGTACAAATATCTCTTTAAGAACCTGCTTTCAATTCTTTGGGATGTATACACAGAAATGGTATTGTCAGATCATATGGTACTTCTATTTCTAAAATTCTTTGAGGCATCTCCATACTGTTTTCCATAGCAGTTGCACCATTTTACAATCTCATCAACACATGTAAGTGTTCCAATTTCTTCACATCCTCACCAATACTTGTTATTTTCCAGATTTTTTAATACTAGCTATCCTAATGCTTGTGAGGTGATACTGTGATTTTGATTTGCATTTCTCTGATGATTAGTGATATTGAGCATCTTTTCATGTTTGTTGGCCATTTGTTTATCTTCTCGGAGAAATGCCTATTCAAGGCCTTTGTCCATTTTTTAATTGGGTTATTTGATTTTTTTTGTTGTTGGGTTGTAGGAGTTCTTTATATATTCTGGATATCAGATATATGATTTGCAAATACTTTCTCCCATTTCATAGGTTGCTTTTTCATATGTATACTTTTAAATTAAAAAGTAAGCTGAAAAAATATGATTTATTCATTTTTTTTTTATGAATTCAGCAAACATTTATAAGGCACTTAATTGTACAAGGTATTCCACCTGGTTCTGGGCTTGATATAAGACAGCAGTTCTCCTGACATACTCCTTCCACTATAGATTGAATTTAATTCAGCTGCAGTGGGGATGGTCTTAAAAGTCATAATCCAGTCTGTACATTTTCTTGACACTAGCTCAACCCTAGTTTTCTTATGCACTAAGGTAGGGAAACTAGGGTGCTGGGCCGCTCTGAGTCCTAGTTTTTTTAGCCTGGGAGGCCAGTTCAATCTAGAGCTTTCTGACTAATCCTGGGCCAGTATTAGTGGGATCACGAGCCAGTCCTAGACGGGTTGAGTAAGACTAAGTTGGAGTTGGACCCTAAGACTTTTAGTCTTCAGATGAAAAATCTTCTCAAAGGCAGGCTAGAACCAAATTAGTTTTGGTTGGGGGGCTTGGGATATAGATCACCAGCTGAATATATCAAAGATATCCAATAATTGTCATTTTCCTCATTGTTTCACCAAAACAGCCTTACTGAGTTAGGACCACAGAATCCTAAATACTGCTCTCCAGGCAACTACCTGCAGTCAATGAGAAGGCGTACAAGATGAAGCCTCATTGTGATTTTTGACCTATATTCCATAAATATTGTTTTGTTTTGTATTAGTCTTCTTATGTAATGCAATCCCAACTATAATTGTGGTCAAGTTCTCCATGAAGAGAACTCTCAAGCTTTCTATAACCCGATACATAATATGTCTGTTAAACCAATTAGATTTTAATTTGTATTTGATTTTAGCCCAATAAACCCATGCAAAAAGCGTGGAGAAACCCACCTGTCACTTTGATATCCCCCGTGGCTTTGGCAATGTTGTTCTCAATCATACAGGAGTATGTGTTGTTGATCGTGACATTGTAGAGTACAGACACAACCTTCATGGTCACATTCTCAGAGTTCAGCTCAAAGCTGGTATTGGAGACTTCTGAGAAGTTGGCTCCCTGGTCAACTTGGGATGCCCAGACCACTGTAGGCTGGGGGAACCATCGGGGAGCCTCACACCGTAAGCTCTCTGAGCTGGCGTTATAGTCCACATTCACCTCTGGGATGCTGAAGGCTGCAGGGTTGGAAGTCAAAAGGGGCAGATGTCAAGGTCATACGGATAAAAACAATATAGTCTTTGAAGTGCTAGGTCTTAAAAACACAGTCATTTCCACCATTGAAGTGACTCAGTACTTCCCCCAGTAGGCCATCCGTGTATGGCCCATTGTATTGTAGATGCAAATAATGATTTGTACAACCCTTTGGCCAAAATCACAAACTCCAAGGACCTAAGTTCTAGGTATAATTGTTATAACAGATAGATTTCTCCAACTAAGGGGAGTTCCAGTTCAACCCTTAAAGATAAGGGATAAAGTTGATTACAAAATGTTTATTCCTTAAGGATTTTGGACATTTTCTCAGGCACCTGTGAAGTCTCTTGGATTTTATTTATTTTTCTGCCTGGAGGATAAAGTTAGGGTGGGGAGGGAGAGGGAGAAGGAACAAACAAACAGCATTCACCTGTCACCCACAGAAATTCCATACACAGGCCTTGTCATCATGGGGGTTTGGATTTTGCTTGGGTGGAGACTCTCCAGCCCTGGTATCCAGGGGTAGAGACAGCCATTTTTTTCTTCTAAGATAATCCTCCTTATTGGGGAGGTAAATGAATTTTGAAATTAAGACTAGCTTCCTCTAATATCCAGGCATTGAAACATTTGTGGAAAAATGTTAAGGCCTGGACTTTTGACTATAAAATGCTTATTATGCCAAATGGCAAGATCCAAGTTATTAATTTATTTAGCACTTTCCTTTGACTGGGAGTATGCTGGGACTGAGTGAGCAGTGAAAGGAAAGACCTTGCTTTGCCCTTAAAGAATCTTCCATCTAGCAGGGGAGATGAGACTCATCTGCTCACAGCAGGCAGGGAATGAGCTCCTGGGAGATGATGTAAGGAGCTGACCGTACATGACAATGAACCGCCACGGAGGGTGCACTCCATGCCAGGTACCAAATTCCAGACATTATTTCATTTGATCCTCACAACCATTCTAGGGATCTCTATTATTATCACCATTTAAAAAACAAGTTTTTAATTTTGGAATAATTTTAGATTTACAGAAACATTGCCAAGATAACACAGAGAGTTCTTGCATACACCTCACCATTTTCCCTAATGTTAACATCTTAAACAACCATGGTACATTTGCCAAAACTGAGAAACCATCTTTGGTATATAACTATTAACTCATCTCCAGACTTTATCTGTATTTTACCAGTTTTTCCACCAATGTCCTTCTTTTTCTTCCCAGGATCCCATATTGCATTTAGTTGGCTTGTCCTCTTAGGTTCCTCTGGTCTGTGTCAGTTTCTCAGTCTTTCCATGTTTTTCATGATCTTGACAGTTTGAGTGGTCCAGGTCAGGTATTTTGTAGGGTGCACCTCTACTGGAATTTGTCTGGGGTTTTTCTCATGATTAGATTGAAGCTATGGGTTTCGGTGAGGAAGGTCATAGAAGGAAAAGTGCCCTTCTCATCATATCACATCAGAATGCATACTACTGACATGACTTATCATTGATGATGTTAACTTTGATCACCTTGCTGAGGCAGCGTTTGCCAGGTTTCTCTGGAAGTTGGACTTCACTAAGAAAAACACACCCTGAGTGTGGTCAAAGGAGGAAGTACTAGGCTCCACCTCCTGGAGTGGGGAGATCTAAATACATTATTTGGAATTCATCTGTAAGGAAAATTTGTGTCATCTCCCTCAAATTTATGGAAGTATGGATTCATGTGTATTTATTTTATACTTGGAGTTTTCATTTACTACTATGCTGTTTGTTTTGTTGCTCAGATTGTTCCAGCTTTGTCATTGGAAGCCCTTTCAGTTGGCTCCAGGGTCCTTTTGACATGACCCTATTAATCCCCATTTTAAGATGAAGAAACTGAGGCTCAGTGAGTCTGCCTTGCCCAGGCCCCAGTACTTGTCCAGGTCTGGCTCTAGATCACCAATAGAAACACATGTTATAAAGTGTCCAAGGAAGGCCTGTGCAGACTAGTGTAGGCCAGGAGGCCTCAGGATACTTTTTGCCTATTTTGTAAGGCCTTTCTCAAATGCCAAATTCTCCGTGGGGGTTCTCCTATCCCTTCCCCTCCCTATGCATTTGGATGTGATCCCTCTCTCCCTCTGCATCCCCAAATCCCTCTTTATTTCTCTTAAAACATTTGATAAACTTTACTGATTATGATAGATACTTACCTATTTTTCTTATCTCCACCCCAGCCCTCAACTCTATAAGCTGTGTCCTGTGAGCTCTGCAAGAGGAGGGACCATCATCTAGTTTCCTTAATCATCTTTTTACTCCTCACAGTACCTCTCTGAGTTTCTTATACATAAATTCACCAAGCTGAGTTGATAAGGAAGGGTGGGATTTCACTGGGGGAGGATTAGGGAGTTTATAGAACATTATTGTTTTTGCTTAGTTCCCTTTGAACTTCTCCTAAAATAGGTTCCACTGCCATGAGTCTCTGGAGACTGATTTCAGACTTGGGCTAGAGCCTACTTAGCACAGAAAAATCTCAGGTGAGATCATGGGTTTCTCTTACTAGCAACAACAAAGGCTACCATAAAAGAGACCACATTTATTTTGGCAAACTACTTCAGGGAATATACCTGAAAATCCAGAGAAGAGTAGGGTCCAGAACAGAAGATTTTAAGACTTAATCTTATAGGGGGGCTATTTTTGGAGTTGATGTGGGTCTTGGACAGCAAGGATGACTGGCGGCAGGAATGTCTCCGTCTTACAGGTCACTCATGAACATAACATATTTCAGCAGCATCCTGTGGTCTTTAGCCCCAAATACCGTTGGGTGCTCTCTTTCCCCCTTGCCAAAAGTAACTCACCTCCAGTTTTATACTCAAGGTTGGCATTCCCCTTGCCTTTGGAGGTGATGATGTAACATTTGTAGGTGCCAGCATCCGTGAGTTGCACGTTTTTCAGCCTCAGAGAGGCATTGCCACCTATTACTTGATCAGCAAACACTGCTGTCCGGCCTCTGAACATTTCATCTTGGTCTGACAGGTCGTCTTTGCCTTCTTTGAACTCATGTACCAAGCCTATAACACCTTCCTTCAGCCACTGTATCACGATATCAGAAAGCTTGATGTCAGGTTCAAAAGTGCAGCTTAGGATTCCATCCTCCCCGATGTTTCCAGCTGAGGTCAGAGTAGTGACTGTAATGGAGTGTCTCCCTGCAATTCGGGAAGCAAGGGTCAATGCCCAGGGAAGTTGTTGAATGTCTAGAACCAAACCCTTCATTACCAAAGGCAAAACAGGGATTTCTGTAATAAATTAGAAATATAGAAGAACAGGAGAGGCATAAAAAAAAAAAGAAGAAGAAGGCATAAGAATAGAAAGAACAGGAAGACAGGAGGCTTGAGTCTACAGCACATCTGCTCCTTGAGAACAAGCAACCAAACCCTTGAGAGGCACCAAGAGGAGAACATACTGATCTTGGAGACTGAAGATGAGAATTCAAGTCCTGGCTTTGTCACTTGATAGCTGCGTGACCTTGAATAAGTCATGTAACCTCTCTGGGTCTCAGAAAAATGGAGGTAGTATCTGTCTTACCTACCTTAAAGGGTTTTTGTGAGGATCAAATCAAATGGATGTGAACTTGATTTGCAAACTGTAATTACACACATAAGGTATTGTTATTCTTAATTAACCAGAAGTGGCCCAGAAGTGAAACCTCATGTTAACTAAATGAAGCTAGCAATTTGGAAGAATGCTAAATCCTAGAGTGCTGTTACTTGTATCTCCATTTGAATGATGAAGAAACCAAAGCAGAGAAGAGATAAGTGCCTTGGTCAAGGTTATAGTGCAAGCAATGGTAAAATGAAGAATGGTACTTAATTAAATTAATTTTTTGGCTTAAGTTAGAAGCCACCCCCTCCTCTCCAAACACACCACCAGTAGAAATATTAATTATGATGCCAGCCGTGTCCATGGCCTCTCCCCCACTTGCCCACTGGATGGCCTGGGCAGTCTGTGAAGGATTGGCCAACTGTTCTTTCTTCACTGGAGGCTGCTGGCTGGGGATGCCTATAGGGGTGATTTCACCAACCAAATCTTCTTGAGAGGCTCCTTCTGTGATTGGATGTGAAGTGAAGGGGAGGAGGGGTATTTGAGCCCAAGAGGAGAATGGAGCAGTTAGAAAGAAGTGTGAGGGAGAGAACATGAGAGAGAAAGATGAAGAGAGTCCTCCATCCCTAGAGCTGTCTTAGATCCTGAGGGTTTTCAAGCCTAGTTCCTGTCCCAATCTCGGAGTATTCTTTACACAGACACTTTATATTAAAACAGTCTGCACAAACCTCTCTTTCTTATGACCCAAAAAATCCAAATTGATGGGTCCTGAGCACTTCTCAGCTGTACTTCTTAGCTTCCTTATCGCTATTCTTGCCTCTGATCTTTGCCTCCGTCCAATCTATTTTGTAAAATTGCATTAATCTTATAGGTAGACCTTAAAATACAATCTGGACATGTCAGTTTTATAATCACTAATCTTCCATGGTTCCCAAGGGCTGTGGACTAAAATTCAGACACACTAGCATGGCCTTCAAAGCTAAATGCTACTTGGTGCAAATACTGCATGGCACATAGTGAATGCCCCCTAGGCATTAGCTCTTATTGCTACCTTTCCAGCCTCATTTCCTACCACGTCCTTTCATAGTCTCTACTGTGTTTATGTATATCAAGTGATTTATTGATTTTCTGCTTTCACTGGAAAGATACATAAGCAAAGTGTACATGCTATTTTTCAGATTTCAGAGATAAACATTATGAACACAAGGATATCTTGACGTTTCACCTCTTCTAGCCTCTTAGGGATTGGAACTAATTGGCTCTTAGGCCTTTGGAAAGTAGGTGAAGGTAATGGACGAGGGACAGAGCTGGAGAAGCTAAGCCAGATGGATTTATATTAGAAAGGACAAAGAGTTACTGATGGGAGAAAAATTATCGGTTAAAAAAGAGGCAGAGGAAAGAAAACCTGTACATGGGCTGGCTTGGGAGGATGTTTTGGGGGCTTTAGATTGTGAGAGAGGAGAGACTTGGGAGCAGCTGCTATGCATGGTGGAGAGATTTGGGAGAGAATTATGTGCGAGATTTGGGAGAGAAATTATGAAAGAGGATAGTATGAAGTTTTGCTGTGTAATATGAATGCAGCACACCCCATCCCCTGCCTCGGCACTTTCTTGAACATGCTTTAAAGATTTAATTTGCTTTTCAATTATTTTTACTTGACAGACTAATATCCAAGACATTCCAGGCTAGTGCTGGTTATACAATTATATTATGCATCTTCACACCCCTGTTCATCTTGCACCTAAAATTTATAGTTCTCTCTTCTCCTTTAGCACCAGTTATCCAAATTCTACTTATATTCAAGGCTGTTCAGATGGCAGCCCTTGCATGAAACCTTCTTTTGATCTGCCAAGACAAAATTAATAGATTCTCTACTCTCCCATAACACTTTCCCTTGCCTTTATTATAGCAGCTGTCTCCTTCTACCTTGTGTCTAGTCTGGCCCTGGCACAAATTTGTAAGCTTTTCAAGGACAGAAACTGTCTTAATGATTTTTGTGAGTCCTATAATGCTACGATGGTTCATTGTATTTGTCAACTTGACTGGGCCGTGGGATGCCCAGACATTTGGTCAAACATTCCGAGGTATCTGTGAGGATATTTCTGGATAAGATTAACATGTGAATCAGGAGACTGAGTAAAGCAGATCACCCTCCTTAATATGGGGCGGGCAGGTGGGGGGACTCATCCAATCAGTGGAAGACCTGAATAGAACAAAAAGCCTGAGTAAGAGGGAGCTCCTACCACCTGACCACTTTCACCTGGGGCATTAGTCTTTTCCTGCCTTTGGACTAGAACTGAAACACTGTCTTCTTGGATCTTGAGCCTGCCAGCTTGGGGACTGGAACTACACCCTTAGCTTTCCTGGTTCTCAAGCCTTTGGACTCAGATTGGAACTAAACCATCTGGGTCTCCAACTTGCTGACAACAGATCTTGGGATTCTCAGCCTCCATAATCATGTGAGCCAATTCTTTCTAAATCTCTCTCTGTCTCTCTCTCATCACACACGCACACACACGTGCGCGCGCACTCATGCAAAATCCTGTTGGTTCTGTTTCTCTGGATAACCCCGACTAATACAAATTTCGGTACTGAGAAGGGGGCTGCTGGTGTAATAGATACCTAAGCATGTGGAAGAAGCTTTGGAACTGGGTAATGGGTAGGGGCTGGAAAAGTTTTAAGGTGCATGCTAGAGATAGGGATGTTAAGGGTGATTCTGGTGAGGTCTCCGGTGGAAATGAGGAACGTGTTATTGGGAACTGGAGGAAAGGCCATTCTGTTATAAAATGGCAAAGAACTTGGCTGAACTATGTTCTAGTATTTTGTGGAAGGTTGAATTTACAAGTGATGGAATTAGACATTTAGCTGAGGAGATGTCTAGCAAAGGTTGGAAGGAGTATCTTGGTTACTCCTGACTGCTTATAGTAAAGTGTGGGAAAGGAGAGAGATGAATTGAAGAAGGAATTGTTAAATAAAAAAGAGCCAGGGATGCCTGGGTGGCTCAGTCGGTTAACCAGCTGACTCTTGGTTTTGGCTCACGTCATGATCTCAAGGTCCTGGGATCGAGCCCTGTGTCAGGCTCTGCGCTCAGAGGGGAGTCTGCTAGAGGATTTCTCTCCCTCTCCCTTTGCTTCTCCCCCCAACCCTGCTCTCCCTCTCTAAATAAGTAAGTAAATAAATAAATCTTAAAATAAAAAGAACCATAACTTGAAGATTTGGGAAATTCTCAGCCTATCCGTATTGCCAAAAATGAGAAATCTGTTCTGAAGAGAAGAACACTCAGGGTATGGCTGTACAGCCATTTGACAAGGAGATATAGGTGCTACTCCTGGGCTTAAGCAGCCAGTTCAGCAGAAGCCAGGAATAGAGATGGGGATTATACCAGCAGCAACACCACCAGCAGGGGACAGAAAAACTAAAGGGGTTAGAACAAATGAGACAAAACGAAGGAAGGCTGTCAGATTTCTTAGATCCTGCAGGACAGGACAATAGAGCTATTCAGCCATAAATGTGTGCCATTCTTCCAGAAAAGGGAAGAATAACCCTGAAGGTGATTCAGAGATCATCAGGGCTCCTTGAAACCTTCTTGGTTTCAAAGGATGGGGGTCACCACCTCTGTTCAACAGGCCATATAGAGGGTCACTGATGGTAGCCTTAGAGATGGGGCTACCTGAAGCCTGGGGTGGACTTTCCAGCCTCCAGAAATGTGAGAAAATAAATTTCTGTGTTTTAAGCCACCCAGCCTATGATATTTTGTTATGGCAGCCTGAGCAAAGTAAGACAAGTGCCTAGTGCTACATTTCTACAAAGAAAAATAGTATTTGTTGAGTGAATGAATAAATGAATGAATGAATGAATGAATGGAGATCAGTAGAAATCAAAGCACTATTTGAGATAACGGTTCTATCCAAAATGATTGTAGGAGTAAGGAACATTCGGCGGGATTATCACATCTAAATTTTGGGGAAATGTGAGCCAGTGAAAAAGAAGGCAATGAAAATACAGACAGTCCCAATAAAATCATGGAGCAAATGTAACTGTGTTAGAGCAAGAATAAGTTTGATTGTAGTTTATAAAGTGCCATTAAAGTTGAATTGAAAAATTACTTTTCCGAAAAAATACATGATTAACACAGTTTATGGGGGCAATGAAATGGTAATGACATATCTTAGTTTGGTAATTTTGCTACTGAATTAATTTTAATGTGTTGGCCCTGAGCCCAAAGGTAGAGAATTTGCTGAAATATCTTTTAGAGAACTTAATGATTGAAAGTAGGCAAGTGTGGAGTGCCCCAGGGACCTGCAGCAGACTCTAGCCCATTTAAGGTTGCATTAAAGATGTGGCAGATGGAAGGAGTATAATGTCTATTAAATCCTCCCCTCCATTATCAAATCAAAAGGAGCAATAAAAGAAAACCAGGAGGACCTCACCATTGCTTTGCACCCAGAAAGCAATCAATAAATGCTTGTTAGGTGAATAAATGATGATCAAAAGTGATTAAATGAAACGTAATTAGCAAGCAACAGCATATAAAATTGCTTCTCAAAAAAAAAAAGATATCTGTATTCAAACTTGCAAACAAATATTGGCTCAGAGAGTTATGTTC